CGCGGAGGCGCGAGCCCGGCCCCAGGCTGCGGGATGCCCCCGGCGAGGCGGAGCGGCGGCCGAGGGGCGGGGGGGGGGGGGGCGATGGAATGCCCGAGGTCCCCTGGCTGGTTGGGCCTCTCGCGCGAGCCCGGGCAGGCCTCTCGGCATTCGGGGCTGGGGCGCGACCTGCGCCCCCGGCCAGCACCGCCGGAGCCCCTGGCAACAGAGACTCCGGCACACCCACACACCTCCGCAACCGCGAGCAGACTCGGGGCCGAGGGGCGGGCGGGACCCGCCGCGGCGGGTTCCCCCAATCGGCGCCGTTCGACCCGGTCGGGGCAAGAGGGCGTGCATCTGAGACGCGCGCGACGGCACCGCCACCCCCCGCCCAGATGGGCTACGAGTTGGCATAACAAACACGCCAGCAACGCCGCCCCCCCCCCCCTGCCTGCCTGCCTGCCCCCGGCGGCGGCGTCCGGGTGACACCGGCGCCCCGGGGGAGGCAAACCCGCCGCATCCGCCGTGCGGGAGAATCCGCCCGGCCGGAGGGCGCTGCCCCCGCTGCCGGGGCCTCCCGCGGATGGCCGGCGGCGGGGCGACCGCGCGGCTGCGGGCGCATTCCTCGCGGCGGAGCAGCGCCCCCGGCCGGCCGCGGGCGGGCCAAAACCCGGCCAGCGCCAGGCCCCGGCGCCGGGGGCCACCGCGCCGGAGGAGCGCGGCGGGGACTCGACCCGCCCGCAGCCGGCCGGGGCGACGAGGCGCGCCGGCCGGGCCGCGCGCGCGCGGACTGGTCTGCGCGAGCTCGCGCGAGCCGCCTTTGTCGGCCGCGCGCCGTCCATGTCTGCGAGGCGATGTGCAAATCTGAGCAACCCGATATTACCATGGGAAAGGGCCACTCGGAAGCGGCGCCGGCGGACGCCTCGGCGCGTGGGCCGGGGTCAGTTGATGCCCCGGCGCCGGACAACGCCCAAAGCCCAGGCCATCGCCGCCGGCGCCGCGTGGCACCGCGGCCAACATCCAGCCACCTGCGCACCGGCCGGTCCATTCGCTTTCGGCGCTCGCCAAGTCGATTGTGCTCGCCCGGCCGGCCGGGGCCTGAGTCATCCCCGGGGCCGGACCCGGCCGCGCGCACACCAAAAGGGCCGCCCTTGAGGCCATGCTGGGCCCGTTATTTTCCGTCGCCGGCGGCCGGGCCCGCGCCGCGTCTTCGGCTCGGGGCGCGGGGCGCGGGGGGGGGGGCGCGGGGGGGGGGCGGGGGGGGCCGCCGGCCGTATCTCGGGGGCGCGGCCTCGGCGAGCCCTCGCGAACGACAGCCCCGCCCGCGCCGACGCGCATGCCGGCGCCCAGTCCCCCTCGCCCGGGCGCGCGGGCCAGGGCCACAACGGACGGGCCCGGGCGCGGCCCGGACGCCGGGCCCGTGGTTCTGCCCTCCCGCCCCTGTCCGTGCCTCTCCCGGCGGGCCCGAGCCGGGAACGAGGGGCGCATGCCCCCCCCCCCCTCCCCCCATCTGGGGAGGACATACGGAATGCTTGTGAAGCCATGCCCCGTGCGTGTGTCTGTACGAGCCCTTGCAACCCGCCTCCGCCCTGCCCCCCGCCCCTGGGGGGCGCCTGGCCGATCGAAAAATACCTGCGCCGGAGCGTGGGCGCGCGTGCATGGTTCAGACATACACACCCGGCCCCGCGTACCGATGCAAAAGATGCACCCGGGCAGGGGGCTCTCCCCAGCCCTCTGGGCCCCGGTTTTCCCGCATGCCCAACGCACACCGAGCCCGGGATATCCCCCCGGCCCTCTCGACGTGTGCGTGTGCACGCCACCAAAAAAAGGGCAGGGCCGCCGGCAAACACACCCGAGGCAAGGCGTGCCCGCCCCCTGCCACACACACACACACACACACACACCACCGAACGAGAGTGCGCCCCCCTCCCCGCCCCGGGCAGGGCGCAAAAAGAAGGTAGTGAGGCGACTCATTTCTGGGACGTTGCATCAGCGATTCAACTGCACATCAACCCTGATATGCGCCCATTCAATCCTAGTCAATTAGCACTCGTCTCGAGAGTGCTTTTATACCGGCCAATTGGACGCCCCCGGGACACGGGCGACCAATCTGTCGCCCACTGCGAAATGACATTCCTCCGGGACCGGTGCATGTCATGGGGCAACATCACGAGGGCCCGCAGGTCGCGCTCCCCGTGCCCGCGCTTCACGAGAATCGGCCCCTCTTTTTGGGCACAGCCACACGCAAGGGGGGAAAAGAAAACACGCCCCGATCTATTTGTGAAATGCACACAGGGGGGAGAGAAAAGGAGAGAGAGAGAGAGAGAGAGAGAGAGAGAGAGAGAGATAGGGGAGGCGGCGGGCATTGTACCCTCGCCGTTCCCCCTCGTGCCAGCTATGGGGAGAGGGAGACAGGGCCCGGGGGGATGTGGGCCAGACCCGGCGATACCTCCTTGAGGACGACAGGCCCCACACATGCACACACACACACACACACACACACACACACACACACACACACACACACACACACACACACTCCCCACAAGAAAAGGAAGAGCAGGCCTGCGCGCCCGCGTCAGTTCAGCCCGGCGAGCGCCAGCTCTCGATTCAGGCGCTCCACCTCGGCGGCGAACTCCCGCTGCCGGTCGTCTCGGCTCGGGGTGGCCTTGTGTGTCAGACACGCCAGCGTCAAGCCGACGCCCTGTCGCGCGGAGCCGGGCCCCGAGCGGGAGGAGAAAGTCCAACTGTCAGTGCGTGCACACATGCCGGCCCGCGCGCCGAGGGCAGCGACCGGCGGGCCTGCCTCGCGGGCGGGGCCCGGGGCTGCTCGATCTCCCGCTTTCCTCCCCCCCCCCCCCCCCCCTACCCACCCACCGGCACACTGGCATAGGCAAACGCGCAGGAAACGCACCAGCAGCAGGACAGACGCAATGCCCACGATCTGGTTTATCGCGATCATGGCCAGCACCTCGCGATGGATGAAGGGCTCACACACCCCCTGATACACCCACGCCTCACCGGCGCACCCGGGCGAGGTGGTGATGCACGTGTCGGGGATGGCGTACTCCATGGGGTCGTCCAGCCCGCAGCACTGGAAGTCACACTCGGTGTCCCGGATGAACCCGTCCGGGTCATTGGCGTTGTAGGTGTCCACCCAGAATTGGTTGAGGAGCGCCGGGAACTGGACCGCCCGCCAGAGGGGAAGGTTAGTTTGCCAGTGGCCGACACACGTGCACACGGCACAGGGTAGAGGGTAGAGGGGATGTCCCGCGCCCCGCCGGGTCTGCTGGTGCGGCCAACGAGCACGCGCGTACCTCCGAGCGATCATGAAAGTGGGTGTAGAAAACGATCGAGGTGATCGAGATGATGGCCACCAGCAGCAGGCCGATGTACTGCGCGACGCCGGGAGGCGGACCCCGGGGGGGGGGGGGGGGGGGGGCAGGTCAGCAGGGTGCGTGAAGGAGGGGGAGAGGGATAGGAGGGCGGTGTGACCAGGAAAAGGGGCGGGGGGAGAGAGGCGGCCGGGGCGTACCGCCAGCAGGAAGCGCCGGCTGTTGCGGCGTGAGCTGTACCACCCAAGGAAGGAGGTAAGGAAGATGAAAGATCCCAGGGCGACATAGGCTGCATGGGGGTGTCGCAATCAGAGGGGGGGGGGAGGGGGGCGCAGAGGACCGGGCCCGGGTCAGATGGCTCGTCACAAAAGGCCAGCGCCGGCGCACATGCACGCACAGTACGGCATCATGGGGATGAGGAAGATCATGCGGGAGTTGACAATGGTCGAGGCCGAGAAGCCAATCACAATGCCACCGAGCATCTGTGCGGGGGGGGGGGGGGGAGGGGCGTCAGGGAGGGAGACAAACCGAAGGCCAAGGATAGACAAGCAGACACCAAAGCACCAGGACGCACCAGCACCAGGACCGAGAACCAGAACGTGGCGCTCTTGAGCCGCTGCAGCCGGTCCAGCTGCTTGGCATTCGCCCGAGCTTGGGCATCGTCATCATCTAGCCGATCGGTCGAGGAGTAGCCCGCCAGCAGGGGACTGGCCATGGCATAGTGCCGGGCGTCGACATCATTCACCGACAGCGACGAGGCGTTGGTGGTCACCGAGTGCGACCCCCCATGCAGGTACAATGACGCGGTCGCCGAGTCCGGGTGCAAGGGGCCCGCGCCGGGGTCCAGCGCCGCCGCCGGGTGGCCAGGCCCGGCGCCAGCGAACTCCACCGCGTCCGAATATTCCCCATCAAGGTGCGACGTGGTGCCGGCCGGCCCGGCTCCGCCCGGGCTCAGGGCTCCGGGGCCGGCGTCCTCCCGGAAGCCGCCCCCATCATGGTGCGCATATGGCCGGCTTGGCGGGGGGGTGGAGCTGAGGATCTGCACCGGCCGGTAGGCGAAGGACTGGTCGCTGGCGGTCATGAGACGAGTGTCATCAGCGGGGAGGAGAGGCAGGGGGGGGGGGGAGGGGGGGGGGGGGGGGGGGGGGCGGGTAGGGTGTGATGTGCGGGCAATGCCGGGAGAGCGGAGGGATAGGAGGGGGCGGCTAACTGGCGGTCGACGCGGGGAGCCAGGCCATCAGGGTGCCCACCGAAAAGCAAGAAAGAGGCGCCAGCGGCTCCATGGCCGCCCCGCCGCCCCCCAATGACCGGCATATATGCCCGGCGGAAGGGGGGGGGGGCCAGACAGGGGGCGAAGGTTCCAAGTATTGGACGTATTTCGCCGAGGCGCGGCCATATCCGTACAGGCACGCACCCGGCGCACGCGCGCGCTCCGAGATGCACACGATGGGCATACGGGCTCGCGGGGGCCGGTCGCCCCCGCCCCGCCGATTGGGATCAGACGCTGCCCCAGGACTGGGGGTGGGGTCTCGGATACCGGATCCTGTCCCCCCCGCCCTGCAGGAGGGCTGTTGAGGATGCCCCATCCTCCCTTCCGATGTCCAGGTCAGATTGGCCTGAGCCGCCCGTTCGTCGAAAGGGCCCGGAGCCCCGGGGGGGTGGAGGGGGAACAATGAAATGTGCGTGCATTCCCCGGGGGTGTGGGCGGCGGCGGCGGCGGCGGGGGGGGAAATAACAACACGATGCTCTTCCGGACGCGCCTCGAAAGTGAACGCCTCGGCCCAGGCCCGAGTCCGCGCCCGAGCAAGGAAAAAACACACGCCCCGGCGCAAGCCACGCCCCGGCGCGTGTGGCCTGAGATTCAGGTGCCCGTGTGCCAGTGCCCGGGGGGGGGGGGGCTGGCGGCACGGCCGCGGTCCGGGGGGAGCAGGCTTGCGGGGCCGGCCGCCGGGGGGGGGGGGGGGGGCGGACCTTCAGACAGACCGCCGGCGCC